CCCAGTCCCTCCCAGTTTATCCCAGTTTATCCCAGTCCATCCCAGTCCGTCCCAGTCCCTCCCAGTTTATCCCAGTCCCATCCCAGTCTGTCCCAGTTTGTCCCAGTCCATCCCAGTCCCTCCCAGTTTGTCCCAGTCTGTCCCAGTTTGTCCCAGTCCATCCCAGTCCCTCCCAGTTTGTCCCAGTCTGTCCCAGTTTATCCCAATCCATTCCCAGTCCATCCCAGTCCCTCCCAGTCCCTCCCAGTTTATCCCAGTCCATCCCAGTCCATCCCAGTCCATCCCAGTCCATCCCAGTCCATTCCCAGTCCATTCCCAGTCCATCCCAGTCCATCCCAGTTCATCCCAGTTTATCCCAGTTTATCCCAGTCCATCCCAGTCCATCCCAGTCCATCCCAGTCCATTCCCAGTCCATCCCAGTTTATCCCAGTCCATCCCAGTCCCTCCCAGTCCATCCCAGTCCATCCCAGTTTATCCCAGTTTATCCCAGTCCATCCCAGTTCCCCACTCACATCCAGCTCCGTTTCTCCTCTGTTGATTTCAGCGTTGGCCTCGTTCAGGTGCTCGAGCTCCTCCTGAAAACCCCAAAATTTGGGATAAAAAAAACAAAATTTGGGAAAAGAAATTCCCCAAAATTCCCAAAATTCCCAAAATTTGGATTAAACCAAAAATCGGGAAAAAAGACCCAAAAATTTGGCATAAAAACCAAAAAAATTGGGAAAAAAACGACAAAAATTTGGGAAAAAAAACCCCAAAATTTGGGATAAAAAAAAAAAATTTGGGATAAAAATCTCAAAATTTGGGATAAAAACCCCCAAAATTTGGGATAAAAAAACCAAAATTTGGGATAAAAAAAACCCCAAAATTCCCAAAATTTGGATTAAACCAAAAATTGGGAAAAAAGACCCAAAAATTTGGGATAAAAAACGAAAAAATTGGGAAAAAATCCCCAAAAATTTGGGATAAAAACCAAAAAAATTTCAACCCCCAACCCCCCCAAAAATTCGGATTTTTCCCCCAAAATTTCAGATTTTTCCCCAAAAATTCAGATTTTTCCCCCAAAATTTCAGGATTTCATCCCAAAATTCCCAAATTTTGGATTTTTTCCCCAAGATTTCAGATTTTTCCCCAAAAATTTCAGATTTTCCCCCCAAAAATTCAGATTTTTTTCCCAAAAAATTCAGATTTTTCTCCCAAAATTTCAGATTTTTTTCCCAAAAAATTCAGATTTTCCCCCCAAAATTTCAGGATTTCACCCCAAAATTCCCAAATTTGGGCTTTTTTCCCCAAAATTTCCAGGATTTCATCCCAAAATCCCAAATTTCAGTCTCCAAACCCCCCAAAAAGTCCCAAATTTTTCGGATTTT